AAACTTCATCCTATTTACCTCAGGCCATTTCTCCAATTTGTCCAGATCATTTTGAATTATGACCCTGTCCTCCAGAGCAGTCGCAACCCCTCCCAGCTTGGTATCATCTGCAAACTTAATAAGCGTACTTTCTATGCCACTATCTAAATTGTTGATGAAGATATTGAATAGAGCCGGTCCCAAAACAGACCCCTGCGGAACCCCACTTGTTATGCCTTTCCAGCAGGATTGTGTACCACGAATAATTCTTCTCTGAGTAGTGTTCTTCCTTGTGTCGGAGGCCGCCGCCCAGGAGGCAGTAGAGAGGGGCCTGACAGTGGGGGTGTGTGCATGTACCCCTCAAACCACTGGAGGACTGGGCATACAGGTGGTCCTGAATGGCCAGGTCCCAGGCTCAGGGGCGCCCCCTCTCCTGCAAGTGAGGCGGGGCGGCCATCTTCCCTTCCTGTCAGGGGCCCAGCGGAGAACACCCTTCTGGCTGATGCTGGGGTAGTAGCTTCTGCTTCTCCACCTGAGCCTGGTGTCGGCCCGGGTCCCCTTCCCGCTTCTGCCCCCCCTCTGGTCTCCATTCGGTGGTATGTACCCGGGGAACTGTCCCCCTGACTTAGCCCAAAGTTCCGGTCCCCCTCCCTATCACAATTCACCCCTCACCCCCGTTCATGCCCTTGGACCTGATTCTGCCCTCTATGGACCAGCTAGAGCTGCCTCTCACTCTGACCGAGTTTTCGGGAGCCCTCCGTCTCATGCCCAACAATAAAGCTGCAAGCATGGACGGGCTGACCGTGGAATTCTACTGCATGTTCTGGGACGTCCTTGGCCCAGACCTCGTCACCATCTGGCCCAAGTCCTTGGAGAGTGGGGTCCTCCCTCTGTCATGCAGGTGAGCTGTGCTTGCCTTATTGCCGAAGAAGCGGGACCTCCGCAACCTTCGGAACTGGCATCCCGTCTTGCTCCTCAGCGCGGACTACAAGGTCATAGCAAAAGCCATCTCGCTGCAACTGCGGCCTGTGCTAGCGGACGTGATCCACCCTGACCAGACCTACATCTTCCTGGGCTGTAGCATCTTTGATAATTTGTACCTGGTCCGGGATTTCTTGGAGCTTGGATGTAGGGACAGTCTGTCGTTCGCTCTCCTGTCCCTGGACCAGGAGAAGGTGTTCAACAGGGTGGACCACGGGTATCTCCTGGGCACTCTGCAAGCCTTCAGCTTCGGGCCCCATTTTGTGGGTTTTCTCCGGGTGCTGTATGCCCTCGTGGAGTGTTTGGTCAGGCTCAGCTGGACCCTGACCGAGCTGGGCCAGCTGTATGCTCTGGCAATTGAGCCCTTCCTTTGTCTCCTCCATAGGAGGTTGACGGGGTTGGTGCTCCGAGAGCCAGAGCTGTGGCTAGTTCTGTCAGCGTACGCCGATGGCATGTGCTCTTCGTGCAACAGAACCCAGGAGACCTGGCACGAGTGGAGGCCTGCCAAGCCATCTACTTTGCGGCCTCCTCCGCCCGGGTCAACTGGGTCAAGAGCTCTGGCCTGATGGTCAGGGACGGGTGGCAGGCAAGCTCCCTCCCACCCGCGCTTCAGGCCGTGAGGTGGAGCGCGGGTCCACTGCTCTATCTGGGTGTTTAATAATCCGCCACACGTCCCTCTCCTCTGGAGAACTGGCAAGATTTGGAGGCCAGGGTGGGTAAGCGGCTGTGGAGAGGGACAGGACTTCTCCAGTGTCTCTCCCTCCACAGGAGAGCGCTGGTGCTAAATCAGCTGGTCCTGTCCATGCTCTGGCACCTGCTCAACACCCTGAGGCCGGCCCCGGAGGTCCTGGCCAAGCTCCAGAGGATAGCTCGGGAGTTCTTTTAGCCAGGACTGCACTGGGTCTCTGCAGGGGTTCTGTCTCTCCCCCTGAAGGAGAGGCTCAGGTCTGCACCTTCCGCCTCCAGGCTCTGCAGATACTCCTCTTTAGTGTAGGTAGTCTGGCATGGAGCACCTTGGCATGCGTCTTCCTCCGCTGGCTCCGGGGGCTCCAATATGGCTGGGGAACCTTTTTTTTTTTTGGGGGGGCAGGACTGCACTGGGTCTCTGCAGGGGTTCTGTCTCTCCCCCTGAAGGAGAGGCTCAGGTCTGCACCTTCCGCCTCCAGGCTCTGCAGATACTCCTCTTTAGTGTAGGTAGTCTGGCATGGAGCACCTTGGCATGCGTCTTCCTCCGCTGGCTCCGGGGGCTCCAATATGGCTGGGGAACCTTTTTTTTTTTTGGGGGGG